GTCTTCATTTATTGTTTGGATGTTTGTATCACGTCTGTGAATAAACTGCACATGGGTTCTTCACTACGCTCGCTTTCAGTGGACTGATTCGTTACAATGAGATTAGTTGTATTGTCAGTGTATCCCACCATGCTAGAGTATATTTATCGCTCATCTAAAATTAATAAATTGATTTTTTTTTTTTGTATTTAACAAATCCATTGTTTTTATGTAACCTTACATTGTGTTCTAAGTTATTTCTTGTAAGTTACAATCATTTAACCTAACAGACAAAAGCTGTTTAAGTCTGGCTAAAGCTCTTGAATCGGATAACAGTCTGGAAGAGCTGAATATGAACAATAATAATATGCAGGATTCAGGAGTAAAGCTACTCTGCAGTGGACTGAAGAGTGTAAAGTGTAAATTGGAGATACTGAGGTAAGTTGTGTGACAGAAGACGAAAGGTGTGATTTAGATATCCTTTACAAAGTCTGTGTGTATAAATAATGGGTTTCAGTACCATCAGTTAATTAATAGAAGTTGTACTGACTAATAATTCATTTATCTTTATACTATCTGCTTTGTTTCAGAAACCAATATGCTTAATTTGCATCTCATTTAGTTTGAAGAACAAGGGGAGTTGAAGTTTACCATAATAAATTCATGATACCTACCAAAGTAATTTTTTTTTTATTTACTAGTTTTTGATATATCTGCTCTGCTTTTTCTATATTGTGGAAAACAGGAGTTTTTTTTAAATTTTTTAGTGGTGTCAAAATTAGCGTGTTAACGCAGGCGATACATGTTTTTAATTTTAACGCAGGGGCCGGGCTACGGTTGGTCACCCCACTCACAACTGCTGTTCTTTCTCTTTTTTTCGTGACAAGAACCATCGTTTATTTAAACGCATAACGTCTTTATGACCACATCAAACAGAAGACGTTTCAGACGTGCGCTCCAGCTTCACTTCAGCGCCAGGCTGCGAGTCACACGAGCGCAGAAACAGTACTGTGCTCGGAGCACTTGCTCTTCAATTGCACGCACAAATGCGCTAAGGTGCGCTGTAGCCTGTATCATTTCATATCAAATCGCGAAAGAAACCACGAGCATGCAATGTTATGTAATCAGTTAAGTCATTAAGTTACCAAAAAGGCAATTAAAGCTGCCTTAAAACTATGCCTGTATGTATTTGTTATATGAGTAACATTTAAGAACCTGTCTCTGAAATGCAGTGGTTTTCCAAACTGTCCTGGAGCAGCTGACTGATCATTTCGCTAGCTAAGACCCTTATTCCTCGGCTGGGATCATGTAGAGCCCTGTGAAGCTGTATTGAAACTGCAATTTGGACCTTCAACCCATTGGTCACCACTGAAGTCCACTATATGGAGAAATCCTGGAACATTTTCCTCAAAAACCTTATCTTTTCGATTTGAAGAACGAAAGACATGAACGTCTTGGGTGACATGGGGGAGATGAATGAACGGACACAATGAACTAATCCTTTAAATTGGCCTGCTTTAACTAATGTAGAGGTAATTTTACAAGCTTTTATTTGTTACTTTTTAAAATGATTACTGATACATGCAGGTTGGAGAAGGTTTAGACCTTCAAATGAGACAAATTTGCTTTAATGAAACTATGCATACATGATATTGAATTATAGCTGTTGGTTTAGTGTTAATACAAATGGTCATTTTGTTTTATATACAGGTTGATCCGAGAACAGATGCGTCCAGTCAGCAGGAGCCTGGCTCTTTAGTATAAAGCCTTCATCTGTCGTGTAGTGGACTGTAGGATGTTAACACTTAAAACACACTTTCCATTTTTCAATTTCAAAAAATGGTGAGATTGAGGACAACATTCAGTGTTGACAATGCAGTAATACATATTGTTCATTTAATTAACAATCCTCCTTGTTGTATTTATAGTGTTAAGGTGAAATTCTTTAGCTGGTGTGCCAAGGTAATTCATAACTGGATACTAATGCTTTCAAATTGAATATGAATTGATATGGAATGTATTTATATGTAAACACTAAAATGTAATATTTACATTAAGCTTTATGCACAGATGCAGCATTGACCTGAAACATTTTGTACAAGATCTGCATGCGATTTGAGAATTAAGTGAATTTTTCTGGGGACTAAATGCTAAGAATGTTTAATTTCATGTTGTATCTATTATTTAGTGTGCTCAGTGGAATACCCATAATTCCTTGCACTTGAATAATTTAATTGTGGTATTTGGTCAAAGCATGAAATTAACTTTGTTGAAGTTTCTAATTGTTTTTGTGCGTGTTCATGATTCTTAACTATAATCTCTCTATTTCCATTAAACATGTTCATGAAGATTGCAAGGGAAATATTCGGCCTGAAATGATTCTCCTCAGGACTGAGTGTTGCTAATCAAACGGAGCTCAACAGTGTTAAGTTTATACTAAATTATATAGTGATGGCAAAATGTCAAGAATACATATTCATTTTGTACATATGCATATTTTTAGACTGATGATTTTGAGGACTGTAATTAATGACACAAACCGGCAGAAGAGCTGAAAATATTAGAGAATAAATTAAATTGTTAGTAAATATGAGGTCCTCTCATTGTTATTTATAATTTTATTAAATGGCCAAATGTTATATTAATTACATAAATAGATAAATCTGTATTAATCGGTCAATTTTACATAATTCTCAATTATGACTAATTTTAATATTAAAAGATGCACATATACGAAATGGGTCAAGTAATTCTCTACTCAGAATAGACCTTGATATTGAATATGTTGAGTGGCTTCTCTGTTCTGCTGCTGTTACTTCAGAAAGTCCAAAGTCTTTAGTTCTGATGTTTAGGATTGTTTTTTTCCTCCCAGTTTATGAGCTATGCGAATGTCTTTAAGTCCAAACATCCACAGTATCAGATCATTTCTCTGTACTTTAACCCCAGTGTGTAGAGAGACAGAATCTCTCTCAGTCACTGATACGGACTTCATCGGAAACCCCTAAAAAAAAAAAAAAAGGGAACAGTTTTAATTAGTCTATCTCTGTCAGTAACTGATTAAGTTGAGGATAGTGAATTTCTTAACAGACTGTTATCAGTGTGTTGAGGTGCTGTGAAGGTTTTGAGGGACCTTTTGATTTGATGTCTTGATTTTTGTTCAAGTTGGTGAATAAAAAGTTTGATTTACCATTATTTTTTGTTTTATTTTACTTAGCCTATTTATTAGCTAAATAATTAAGTTGCTGTTTTGTCAAAGTCTTTTTCAAATGCGTTAAGGATTAAATCCCATTAATTTTTTCTGATTAACAAAAATTCTATGAAAAATAGTCCAGGCAAGTTTATTTATACAGCACATTTCATACACAAATTCGCTTTTCATAAAAGTGCATAAAATAAAATAGCATAAAAGGAAATCAAATAAAAAATACAAAGTAGGAAATCAGTTAACAAAAAGAAGAAATAAAACGTACAAATGTATTCAACAGTATAAAGAGATGCAGTGCACCAGGATGCCGAAAACTAAATACTGTAAACCCAAACAACAAACGGTTTGTGGAAACGAACTGAAAGTGTTCAAAACAAACCGGCTAATCAACTCATCGCTGAGAATAAGAAAAAAATAAAGTTATTGTAATCAACTGATCTATTGTGTTTCCATGTCTCAAACAGACACTTTGTTACTCCTTTTTTCCCCTAATGACCCCGAACGCCCAGTCAACCCTGTTCATACTAGAGCTAGGCTTTTCTCAACAGCGATCAGAAATTATAAGTGCTTCACAGAAGTCTGGATTACTCTCTTTTTTTTTTTAAACAAGATTATTGCAAGTAAGTTTTAACTTTAACTAGTTATTTGGGGGGTTTGATTAAATTTTAATTTACAATATTGCAGATATGTTGTAGACAAAAATGATGCAGCCAGAAATTATGTGAACAAACTCCATAAACTATTCTTTTATTCCTGTCTCGCGAAGAAAAACACTGCAAATACATTACCAAGTGTCAAGTCGTCGGACATTGGACAATCATCACGTAAACACGGCACAAATGTGTAAGGAACGACTTGCGGATACAAACGGGGTAAATAATGTTTTGTGTGTGTGTGTGTGTGTGTGTGTGTTTTTCCTATAATAAAGTTAACATTGGCTGTTATTACATTATCAGCACTGTTGAGTTTCAGGAATTCAGTGACACACATAATGATATTCTGGTATTTGTGGAGGCTGTCCGGAAGGAATTTGTTGCCATAGCCACAGGCATAGCTTGACATTTGGGCAATAGGGCAGTGCCAGGGTTTAAAAGAGACAAGAGAATAGTTGTTGGTGCAGGAGTGTCAAAGACATTATTCAATATAATCTGTGCATTATAAACGTTTTTTGTATAAATGTTTAAATGTTTTGTGTGCTATAAATGTTTAAAATGTTTGTGCGTATTACCTACAAACACATAAGACTCAGTGCTAAAGAAATAATTCTAATATACTTTTATTATATTGTACAATGGCAATTTCAATGGCTTGACTTCAATGACTTCAATTGGGACGTTGCTATTTTGTCAGGCAGTCTTTCTGTCAAACTCAATATACATGAGTGAATGATTCAGTTTTCTAGACATTCCCAAGAATTACGGATTTTGTAATAAAAAAGCAGAGAGACTTAATGGAGTGAAGAAAATTCATCAAGGTAAATTCATAATTTTCTAATGGTTTGTAAAAACGAGACCGAACATGTTACAGACAAACATAGAACTCTTGTTCTTATTTCAGAGGTTGTTACTCTGAACATACAAAGCTGCCAGAAAATACTTTAAAAATTGCAAATTTTGAAGATGAATATATTTCTGAAAGATTTCTTTTTTTATGCTGTTGTTTTGTGGTTATGTGGCATAGAAAGTATTTTCTACTGCCATGTTATTCATGAGGGACATCTCCAGATCACACTGAATGGCTGATTGTCTTCACAAATCAATGCTTTACTGTATTCACTGGTATTTTTGCTGCAGTATGTCAGAAGAGTGAAGAAAGGACTGTCCATCTAAGATGAGTCTCCCAGAGGAAGAGAGGTAAGACTGTTTCTGTCTTCAATTAATCATTTCAAACACTACTTTCTTGTGAAGAACAAAACCTTGTCAACAAAGACTGTTTAATACTTGATGTATGTTACATTTGGAAATACTTTGCAAATTGCCCAGAAGTTTTGTATGTACTTATGGGTTAAAAATGAAACTATTATTTTGAAGAAATAAAATGTATGTATGACAAACAGAGCTTTATAGGTGTGTCACAGTTAACTTACTACGTAATAATAATTAGTGTACCCCTGCACTTTTACCATGACTGTTGATGTTTTGGGAAAACAAATGAATAATTTTAGTTAACAGACACTACAAATGACTAAATATTAACATCAAAAATACTAGAAAAACTAGACAATATACATTTAAAATTTAAAGTGTTGAAATCTGAAAAAAAATAAAACTCTTTCCTTAGCCTGTAAACGTTTTCAGCCTTTCATTCACTGCACACAGTTCAAGTCAGTTTTGCTGATATAACTAGTTGCTTTAATTTATTTATGGTATTTTTGTTGATACTAATTTAATGCATATATGGATTTACTGTTGCAAAGTTTTAGAATCACAGGTGTTTTACAAGAAAGTGTAAATTGTGAAGGGTGAGGAACCAGTGCTCCTCTTGGCTGTTAGTTTAACCATGATTTCATTGCTGCAGGCCTGATCAGTTATTAGGATGAAGTCTCAGACCAGGACATAGTTTGTGTTAACGTTCTAAGTGTGGTGCTAAAATTCTTCATATTGAGATTCCTATTTTTCCTCTCTCTGCTCTTTGTGTCATTAGTGTAAGATCAGGCTCACATGTGTTCAGCTCTGTGTCTGTGAAGAGTGACTGGTCACATGATCTTCCACCAAAATTCAGTGAGAAAACACCATCATCACCTACCAAAAGGTATTTCATGTGTTTTACATTATAGTGTTACATTAGCTCCACTGTGGTGTACATGCATGTAAAACTTAATAAAACAATAAATCATAGAATTAAATCTGGAGCTTCTTTCCAATAATACAATTACACAGGTAGCCACTGGGGGACATAAATTCACCATGGAAAATACATCAGGCAACTGAACATACATTCATGAGAAGGACAAATGCACAGCTATAGTGCATTTAATTACACTAAATCTCTTTAAATGAGACTGAAGCAGCTCCTGTAATAAAGTGTTTTCTTTCTCTTTCTGCTCTTTTTGTCATTAGTGTAAGATCAGGCTCACATTTGTTCAGCTCTACGTCTCTGAAGAGTGACCATTCAAAAAAGGATATACCCAACTTCAGTGAGAAAACACCATCATCGCCTACTAAAAGGTATTTTATGTGTTTTGAATTATGAATTTGTGTTAACTGTGATAAAAAATTACAAAATAAAACAAAACTCTGAGAGTGTTACATTGCTTTCCTATGTAATGATTGTAATGTTTCTGCCTGCCTCCATTTTGCAGCTTACCGTATAACCCACTTCTTTCATATTTTTCAGAATTGTTGTGATAACTCACTGGTGCTAAAATAGAGAGCTTCATGAACCTTTAATGACCTCGGTCTGAACGTATTCATATGAGACCGAAGAACCTAGTAAAGTGTTTTTTTCTCATTGTTCTTTGTGTCATTAGTGTAAGATCAGGCTCACATGTATTCAGCTCTGTGTCTGTGAAGAGTGACCATTCAATAATATTTGAACCACCAGAATTCAGTGAGGAAACAATATCATCTACCAAAAGGTATTTCACGTGTCTCTTGTTGTTGATCACACAGACTGTTAGAAAATAATTCTGTGACTACATTTCACCGCAACCCTTTTTCTTTACTGATGAATGCTGGGTAGGAATTAAATGCTGGTTTGATTGATTGATGGTTCGACCCAAATGATAAAGACAACTGAGCTTCTGTTAGATTCCATGTGTTTTCTCTTTCTTTCTTTCTTTCTTTCTTGGTGTGATTTAGTTATAAAGGACAAAAGACAACAGTAAATATTGGTGCAGAATTTACACGGTGGCAAGCATTAAAAGCACAGAAGGGATTGAAGAGTGATGTGGAACTGGCAACTTTTCTTCTCAACAGGTGTGGACACTATACCACAGTTTACCTTGCAGTTAAATTTACATATATAAGCTAAATAAGCTACCATGCCAAAATTTGTAATTCATTTTTGCAAGAGAGTAAGCCATAACATTTAACTTGGCTTTTGCAAATTTGCTGCTTTGAATTTTGAAAAAAAAAACAAAAAAAACAAAGAAATATTCCATTTATCTGTTCACAAAGCACTTTTTCCAAAGGATATATTAGATATATCAATATATTGTCTAGAAACACACCATTTTATTTTAATTTACTGTGAACACTGAACAAATTTATTTTGCAAACAGGGTTCAATATGAGAAATCAGCCTCAGAATTCCAGACGTACCGCCTCCGTAAAGAGTTCAGTGAAAATCGCCTCTGGATCTTCCAGGTAGAAGGCCTTCCTTGACTTTTGAACAGCCTTCATTTTAGAACTATACCAAAAATCACACAAAATTATAATGGTATAGCAGAGAAGTGTAATCTCTTTTGTTAGGTTATGTTGCATTTTTAATCTCACAAATGTATCAAATAAAAAATAGGCTATTTATTTAAAAAATTGAAGTCGTTTTGTATATTTTATGTTCTGGTAAATTTGTAATTAAATGTATAACTAGCACAAGTTCATTGATGTATGTACTGTTGCTTGACTGCAGTTCGTTCTAGATGTAAAATGTATGTTTTAAGCATATGTTTAATTTGTTCTACTGCTTTTTTGTATGTTTTTTTAGGATCTTGAGAACAAAATAGTCGTATTTCTGAAAAATGAGTTGGAAAAGTTGAAGAAAATATTACAAAAAGAGAACACACAGTACTTTGTGCAAGACTTCAATGAGGGCATGTGCAGTATCAAAGAAGCAGCTCTGGATATCACACTCTACTTCCTAAGAGATATGAAGCAAGATAAACTTGCAGATACTCTAGAGGGTAAGATGCTCATAAAATAACAATCTGACATATTGTCATGTATGCATTCTAAAAGAGGTGCATACCTTTGTGCTTTTGCTCCTTTTTGTGTATTTAGATGAGCTCGTCCTCATTCATCAGCGACAGCTGAAATCAAACCTGAAGAGGAAGTATCAATGTGTGTTTGAAGGAATTGCAAAACATGGTGATTCTACACTTCTGAATAACATCTACACAGATCTCTATATCACTCTGGGTGGTAGTGAACAGGTCAATACTGAACATGAAGTAAGACAGATTGAGGTTGCTTTCAGACGTCATGAATCACAAGAGATACAGGTTGAATGCACGAATTTGTTTGAAGCACCCGAACAAGACAAGGAGATCAGAACTGTGCTGACAAAAGGAGTTGCTGGCATCGGAAAATCAGTCTCTGTGCAAAAGTTTGTTGTGGATTGGGCTGAAGAAAAAGAAAATCAGGATATCAGCTTTGTATTTCCTCTTCCTTTCCGGGAGATGAACTTAAAGGAGGAAGAAAACCAAAGCTTGATGAGCCTTGTAAGTCAGTTCCCCTAAAAAAAAAAAAAAAGGGAACAGTTTTAATTAGTCTATCTCTGTCAGTAACTGATTAAGTTGAGGATAGTGAATTTCTTAACAGACTGTTATCAGTGTGTTGAGGTGCTGTGAAGGTTTTGAGGGACCTTTTGATTTGATGTCTTGATTTTTGTTCAAGTTTGTGTTTTTATTTCGGAGTCTTTTTGTCTTCTGCCCTGTATTTTCTGTAAACGCAGACACTTACTGAAGGAAAAGACAGTACAGAAAGCAAATGAACTGAGAAATTGTTCAATCTAATTGTTTCCTGAAGGTTATTTATTTTATTCATGTTTTTTTACACACTAAAACACTAAAATGTTTTTACATTAACTGTTAAAATGGTGTTACATGCGTATTTTAGAAAAGATAACGTGCTATCTAAAACACATAAGATTCATTGCTACAGACATGATTTTTTACTTTTATCTACAATGTACAAACCCAATTCCAAAAAAGTTGGGACACTGTACAAATTGTGGGTAAAAAAGGAATGGAATAATTTACAAATCTCATAAACTTATATTTTATTCACAATAGAATATAGATAACATATCAAATGTTGAAAGTGAGACATTTTGAAATGTCATGCCAAATATTGGCTCATTTTGGATTTCATGAGAGCTACACATTCCAAAAAAGTTGGGACAGGTAGCAATAAGAGGCCGGAAAAGTTAAATGTACATATAAGGAACAGCTGGAGGACCAATTTGCAACTTATTAGGTCAATTGGCAACATGATTGGGTATAAAAAGAGCCTCTCAGAGTGGCAGTGTCTCTCAGAAGTCAAGATGGGCAGAGGATCACCAATTCCCCCAATGCTGCGGCGAAAAATAGTGGAGCAATATCAGAAAGGAGTTTCTCAGAGAAAAATTGCAAAGAGTTTGAAGTTATCATCATCTACAGTGCATAATATCATCCAAAGATTCAGAGAATCTGGAACAATCTCTGTGCGTAAGGGTCAAGGCCAGAAAACCATACTGGATGCCCGTGATCTTCGGGCCCACGAATTTGTTTGAAGCACCCGAACAAGACAAGGAGATCAGAACTGTGCTGACAAAAGGAGTTGCTGGCATCGGAAAATCAGTCTCTGTGCAAAAGTTTGTTGTGGATTGGGCTGAAGAAAAAGAAAATCAGGATATCAGCTTTGTATTTCCTCTTCCTTTCCGGGAGATGAACTTAAAGGAGGAAGAAAACCAAAGCTTGATGAGCCTTGTAAGTCAGTTTTTCCCTGAGACAAAGGGACTGAACCTTACAAGAAGGAATCAGTTCAAAGTCCTGTTCATCCTTGATGGTTTGGATGAATGCCGTCTTCCTCTAAACTTTGAGGGTAATGAGACATGGCGTGACGTCTCGTCACCAGCCTCTCTGGATGTTCTCCTCACAAACCTCATCAAGGGAAATCTGCTTCCTTCTGCTCTCATCTGGATCACCACCAGACCAGCAGCTGCCAGTAAGATTCCCCCTGACTGTATCGACCGGCTGACAGAGATACGAGGATTCAATGATGCACAAAAGGAGGAGTACTTCAGAAAAAGATTCACAGATCAGAATCAGGCCAACAAAATTGTTGATCTTGTTAAACAATCAAAGAGTCTCTTTATCATGTGCTACATCCCAGTCTTCTGCTGGATTTCAGCCACTGTTCTCCAGAGCATTTTGGAAATTAAAAGAAAAAATTATATGAAAAATGCCAAGATTGTTGATGCTGTAAATGCTGAAGACACTCCCAAGACTCTGACACAAATGTACACACACTTTCTCCGCTTTCAGATCCAGCAGAGCAGACGGAAGTATGATGTTTCCTGGGATAAAGATACCATCCTTTCACTGGGAAAACTGGCATTTCAACAGCTGGAAAGAAACAACCTGATCTTCTATGACACAGATCTGGAAGCCTGTGGTATTGACGTCTCTAAAGCATCAGTGTATTCAGGCATGTGTACCCAGATCTTTAAGGAGGATACAGGGATCATTCTTGGTACCATGTACTGCTTTGTTCACTTGAGCATTCAAGAGTTCATTGCAGCCCTTTATGCACATCTGTTTCTAGACATCAACAACCAAAGTGTCTTTAATCAAGACTCCACAGAACAGGAAAACAAAAGTGAAACCTTGACTGATTTGCTCAAGACTGCAGTGGACAAGGCACTTGAGAGTGACAGTGGACACCTGGACCTTTTTCTTCGATTCCTCCTCGGTCTGTCACTTGAGTCCAGTCGTCCACTTTTAAGAGGTCTGTTAACTCAGCAAGACAGCAATGACCAGAGCTACAAGGAAATAGTTCAGTACATCAAGCAGAAATTAGACTCTAATCTATCTCCAGAGAGATCCATCAATCTGTTTCATTGCCTGAATGAACTGAACGACCAAACTCTGGTGAAAGAGATTCAAAGCCAACTTAACAAAGGAAGTCTCTCATCTTCTGATCTTTCTCCTGCCCAGTGGTCTGCTGTGGCCTTTGTGTTGTTGACGTCAGAGGAAGAGCTGGAGGAGTTTGATCTACAGAAATTCAAGAAATCAGACGAGTGTTTCTTTAGACTTTTGGAAGTTGTCAAAACCTCCAAAAGAGCTCTGTAAGTCATTTTTGCACTCATTTGAAAAGTACATTAAGTCACCTATAGTTAGTTCTGAATCTATACAATGCATCTTTAATATCTACATACATAATATATCCTTTATGTATCAGTTAGCTCTAATGCTTGCTCAGTCAGATCAGATCACAGAGTGGAATTGCTCTTTCTTAATAGCTAGCAGAAAATAAGTGCAAATTACCTCACTGACCATATCAAAACTTGACAAAAAACAACAAAAATGAAAGCGTGGTACTTATCTAAATCAAGCAAACAAATGCTCTAATGATAACTAGCTTAACAATGATTGCCATTTAGAACTGCATTGATTAAATGCAGCCATTGAGAAGACAGGTTTAATTTCTAAGTAACTGTTAAAAGACCAAGCAACAAATGCACCACACACTTGCCATGTTGTAGCCAGGTCTTCTTATTTTTGTTTACGGACATGACGTAACCACGCAAATGTGAATGATTAATATTTGTATTTAGCAAATATATTGTATGTATTTAATTTCAGTTTGTTTGTTGGTATTTTCCTGTTGTAGGTTAAATGATTGTGACTTAACAGACAGAAGCTGTTCAGCTCTGGCTCCAGTTCTTGTATCAGACTCCAATCTGAAAGAGCTCAACATGAACAATAATAACCTACAGGATTCAGGAGTGAAGAAACTCTGCATTGGACTGAAAAGTATAAATTGTAAATTAGAGATACTGAGGTATGTTGTAAGACCACAGACAAAAAGTGTGATTTGTTTTACATATTATTTACCAGATGTGTTAATATAATGTATTAAAATACTGTCAATTAAGTTAATGTAAAGTCTAATAAATAATTCTCCTGTGAAAGTCATGTAGAGCAGTGTTTCCCAACCCTGTTCCTGGAGATAGATAACAGGGGAGTGTCTCAACAAAATCTTAACACAAGTGGTCGCAAAAAAGTTATTTGAAAATAATACCAGTTGGTAACATAGGTCATATTAGTATGTGCTAATTGTGGTACAGACTGAACAACTTTTTTGGGGGGCCCTTCAGGAGCATGTATTGTACATTTTCTACATTTTAGAATCTATACATATTGACAAGCTGTTTATTTTCAGGCTCAGTAAGTGTGATCTAACAGTGAAAAGCTGTTCAGCTCTGGCTTCAGTTCTCCGTTTGGACTCCAGCAGTCTGAAAGATCTTGACCTGAGCAATAATAATCTGCAGGATTCAGGAGTGAAGCTGCTCTCTGATGGCCTGAAAGAGAACTGTAAACTGGAGAAGCTCAGGTGAGTTGATGAGTAACATATTGAAGGTCTCTAGGATTTTTTTTTGCTTATATTCAGCCGGGCTGTACAGTGTGACATATATGTTGCACATACTAAGAAAAAAACAGTCTGTGTGGTGAATAAATTTACCACAGTAACATGTGTGCGATACAGTTTTGCAATGTGTGTGAGTCCGTTTACAAACCTGTTGTCCAACACAGAATATTTAATGACGTGGTTTCACTCCAAATTCGCTTCATAACATTAGTCAAGTTTTTTAAATGACTTTTTGTGTTTATGAGGTATCAGAGAATGAGGTAGAAAACATTATTTTATGGTATTCTATGCAGTGATAAAGGCTATGTTGATTAGCATTGCATTATAAATATACTTGATTCTTATAAAATAACCAAGATGGATGGACGAACATGGATAAACCATATATTGTTGCAATTGTATGTTTATTTTCTTCATTTGTAATCAGTTAAAAGTCTCTATCTGCGTTTTATTCAGCTGCAGCGAGAGCTGAATGCCCGTGTCAATATTAGGTTCCTCTTCAGGAACTCGAGCTGCGTCAGAAAACGCTAGGGGAACGCCTTCTGTGACCACGCTCTGAATCACATCTGAAATCCAATAGCTGAGCGGGACGTCACGGGCGGGTGACGTCATGACCAGGAAGCTATAAAAGCACGTGCGGCGGAGCCAGCGTCAGCTTTTTGTCATTCAGCGACGCGCTCTGTGTGTGTCAGTCATATTTATTGTTGTCTGTCAATTGTGAAAAGTCCATAAGCTCCAACTATGTCTAAGCTCATGCAAAGACAAAGCATTTCAAGGGCGAGAGCAAGCCACGTTGTAGGTTGTTACACACAGCCTGTGCGTGGTTTGCTTGGGAGCGAAGCACAGTTGTTACTGCCTTGCTTCGCTCTCAGAGGGCTCTCTTTGAGGAGGGAGCCTTCACTAGCGTTCCTCGCGGTGCCGGCCCCGCTTTCGCCGAGGCGGAGCGGCGGCTGTGCTCGTGGGTTTCGCGTATGGATCTGCTTCCTAATCACCAGATCCGGCGCCCGCTCTCGGGGTTTCGGAAGCCCACGCTGCGGTCCTTCCCACCGGGGAGAGGGCGCGATGCTCCGCCTGTCTTTCTCCAAGGAGATTGATACAGAGGGCGTCAAAGAGCACGCCAGTTGCACAAGCATCAGTTACAGAAGCATATTATGCCTGATATTATAATGAGCAGCATTAATAGGGAGCGGAGCTCGCGCAGTCGGCTCTCGGGGGGCGGATTGTGCTTTTTCCGCTGTTAAGCGCTCCGCTCTCGCCGGGCACGCTCCGAGGAGTGTGTCCGTGCCTGTGATCTTGCGATTGCGGTCCCGCTGCTGCTGAGGCACGGCGGCGACTGAGAACGCGGAGATCGCACATGATCTAGCAGACGGGTTGGAGACGGCTCTTCCTATCTCCACCCGTGTTCGCTAGATCTAGAGCTCGTTCTCGGGGCTTGGAAGCCCGCGCTGCGGTTCTTCCCCCCCTGAGTGAGTGCTGCGGCCCTCTTGCTCTGAGGAGATTGATGTTGTTTGTGTGACTGAGTGGCTCGCGCGCAGCGCATATATTACATAATTTCTTTTTGATGTGAATCTTACTCACCAGACCGTATTTACTCCTCTGGTTGTTTGACTGCATTTAATTCTGAGGAATAAAATGAAGTATTTGTCTGACTATGAGAAGTTAGATATACAGGGGCTCTTGGGATATAAATTTCTCGAGTGAGAGCACGCATTAACCTCTCTTCCTCTGAGGAGGTTGAGGCGGTCAGCAGGGGCTGCTGGGCGGAGCAGTCCCAACCTACCGTGTTCCGGCCCTTCATTCTGGGGGCCTCACTTCTTGTACTCCGCAGAGTCTAGAGTCAGAGTGGCGCTCCCAGGCCGAAGGCTTCTAGCGGAAGGCGGTTCTGCGGATCGTCATTCTCGCTGGATAGTCTTCGTCGTAAACGTCCTGACGCCTATGGTCTAGGACTTTTTGAGGGCCAGCTCCCTCTGGGGAAGAGCGGTGTACACCGCATTACACGGTGCCAGTCTCTCCTCAGTGCCCTCAGGAGGTCGGTCTGCCAACCCTGCCGTGTTCCAGGGCGCAGCGGTCTTCGGCCGGCGCTTCTCTCAGTTACCGCCCGGAAACGTAGCGGTACTAAGGGGCTCGCTACCTCTACGGAGGTATCTAGAGCAGCTAGTACGGCCGTCCCCTGCCGGTCCGCTGCTTCAGGGCACTGAGCTAGCTGCTCTAGGCGCACCACAGGCCAGTCTCGCGAGACTGGTTCCCTTAGGAGGTCACCTGGCGGTGTGGGAGCCCCTGCCAAGTGTGCTTCATTGGGTCCTGCCCCGAGCAGGCTGTGGTTTAGTCTTCCTAGCAGACGACGTGGGTCTGATCCAGTTCGGTTCTCGTCCGCCTCGATTCAACGGGACCCCCCACTCTAGTGGGTCCCGAGCAGGCTCTGGTATTAGAACAAGAAGTAGTTACTCTCTTAAAGAAGGAGGCCATCGAGGTGGTCCCTCCGCACGAGACAGACTCCGGGTTCTACAGCCGGTAAATTTGCTTTTGGGGGCAAAAGCCTACCAATACTGGTTTCTTCCTTTGGGCTTGCACTCTCACCCCATACTTTTACGACTCAACCACATCGACGATTGGTTGATATTAGCTCAGTCAGAGCAGATGGCGGTTTGACATCAAGGTGTCGTTCTCGCTCACACGAAAGAGCTGGGGTTAAGACTTAACGCCAAGAAAAGTGTGCTTTCTCCAGTACAGAGAACCACTTATCTGGGCGTGGTGTGGGATTCGACCACGATGCAGGCATGTATGTCTCCTGCTCGGATCGAGTCGATCCTCACCTCAGTCGCGAGAGTAAGAGAAGGCCGGTCACTCACTGTCAAGCAGTTCCGGAGGTGCCTACGTGTCTTAGACATGTGGAGGAAACCTTGGTTCTTGTCTCAGGGCCCGGTGCTGGGAGCTCCTTGTCGCCGCGTACGCTAGCGACGGATGCATCCCTCACCGGTTGGGGTGCGGTCATGAGTGGCCACCCTGCCCGCGGTCTGTGGAGTGGTCGCCATCTGACGTGGCATATCAATTGTCTGGAGATGCTGGCCATGTTTCGAGTTCTGAAACTCTTTCTCCTGGACCTAAGAGGTCACCATGTGTTGGTGCGCACCGACGACACAGCGGTGGTCTCTTACATCAACCACAAGGGAGTTCTGCGTTCACGCCCTTTGTACAAACTGGCACACCAGATACTTGTGTGGTCCCAGGGCAAACTCTTCTCGCTGAGAGCAGTTCACGTTCCTGGGCATCTCAATATGGGAGCAGACATCCTGTCGAGGCAGGGGCTGAGGCCCGGGGAATGGATGCTTCACCCCGAGGTGGTGAAGCAGATATGGAGAGTGGTTGGCCAGGCTCAGGTGGGCCTGTTGCTACTCATATGATATCGCACTGTCCCCTCTGGTTCTCTCTGACTCATCCAGCTCCACTGGGGCTGGATGCCATGGTACAGACATGGCCGAGGCTTTGTCTGTACGCCTTTCTTCCGATTTTTCTGCTCCCGGGAGTTCTGGAGAGAGTGCGCCGGGACGGGACCCGTCTGTTGTTAGTATCCCCTTTCTGGCCGGGCCGAGTTGGGTCTCAGGCCTGATTTCTCTCCTCGACGGCGCTCCATGGGAGGTTCCCGTCAGGAGAGATCTCCTCTCACAGGCGGAGGGCGCGCCCCCGCCCGGAGCTGTGGAAGCCGTGGGTGTGGCCTCTGAGGAGGCACAACTCATAACTTCCGGTCTCTCAACCGAGGTTGTTGAGACTATCCTCCATCCAGAGCTCCCTCTATGAGGAAACTGTATTTCTGCGGAGACCGCCAGCCCGACCCAGCTAACTGCCCGATTGGTACAGTTCTGTTTATCCGGCAGGCCTGTTTGACCCATTCCACCCTAGAGGTCTTCGTGGCGGCCATTGCGGCCTACCACGCCCCTCTCGGTGGCCATTCAGTGGGAAGACACCCTATTCTTACATGTTTCCTCTGCGGTGCGCTGAGGCCGAAGCTTATGCTAAGTGGTGGATCAGGATGCTATTCCATAGCCTCGAGTCCTCTGATCTCCCCTCTCCTTTGGGGGTCAAGATTCACTCCTCCAGAAGTTGGCCTTCGGGACGGCGGCCGCCTACTTTAGCCACTCCGGGTTCTTCTGTTCTCTCGCCCTAGCTGTGCAGTCTTCCACACTAGGCAGAGATTTGAAAGTCTGGCGGCGTGGGCATTCTCGTTCCCCTAGCGTTTTCCGACACAGCTCGAGTTCCTGAAGAGGAACGTCTCAGGTTACGTATGTAACCCTGGTTCCTCGAGGGAACGAGACGCTGCGTCTCGGTGCCATACTTCCGACATCCCTGCCAGCACTTGCCTCATTCCTGAAGCTAACGCTGGCTCCGCCGCACGTGCTTTTATAGCTTCCTAATCA